GAGATCATTGACATTAAATCTGGAAATTTAACTATGTATAATTTTGAAAAGTGAAACTGAAATTCTTATGGTTTCAAAGAACAACTATGACATAATATCATATCACCTGCCAGTTGATTATAACCTAAAGTGACTTGTGTATGTTTGTAAGTTATTTTAAACATATTAAACTTTAAACAACTTGTTCCTCGTACCCAGTTCAACCTGAAATATCGTAACGCCAATAGGAACAACGGGAGAGTACCTAATGGCATAAGGAAAGCATGGTTTGCCCCCACTGACCCTATACTCCTTAAATGCCGCAGCAAAAGTGAAGATCTGTTCTAATTCTTGAAATGGTAGGCTAACAAAGTACCATCCGTGGCGCTACAACATTATGTTAATATAAACATCAATAGATAGATGCAAAAAACAGTCAGCTGTATCAAAGAGGTTTTACACGTTAAACAGTGAAAGTCAAAAATTTTAAATTTTGAAAGTTAATTATGTTAAGTTCTAACACGCTGAATGTGGGTATATTTCAGTCACGGTCTGTGATGCAGTCTAGCATCTTCTAGCCGTTTATTTTAACTTTAAGTTACTTGCTAAGTTTCGAAGCTTATTTAAAGCGTAAGCCTCTAGGAATTTAAATTTAAAATAACTTATTCCTTTTTAAAAATTCAACCTCATTGATCGCAATGCTGAGGCGAGAAAACGACAAAGTCTAAGATCACATGGCTATGGAAACACAATGCATACTTCCAAATGTATGGTTCCTAGTACAACTGAAGAGCTGTCCTTATCCCTGAGATGGTCCTTCAGTACAGGTGAGTTGCTCTTCTAATGAATGTTAAGATTGTGTGTTCGACAAAGAATAGAAGCGGTTGTCGACTTCTACATGCTCCTCAACGGATGATATGTCTAGTTTCGATTTTACTATTGAGTAAGCACTAATCACACTTAAACATTCGTCTATTTTTCTAGATGAAACATTCCCAAATTAGCTGACACATTTTCAAGATCATGCACATTTATTATCTGGTGGTACCTGGGCAATATATGAATGAATTGAAATATGCTTTAATTTGAATAGTATAATGTCATGTCCTAACAAAACAACTGTGGGTAAATCAAATGCGGTTCTGAAAAGAATTCGGGTATCATGTGGTTCACTCAGCTCTATGGATTAAATAAGCCGGCAACCATTGCTTCAGCTAGCAACCAGAATGTAGAGAATTTCTGTTGTCCGTCATCCTACTGTTGTAACTACCTCAGAGTTTAGAAACAATGCATGGTTTTCGATTAACTGCGTTTAAATGACTCTGCAGACGCAAATCTTATATAAAAACAATGTGAAGAGTGGAAATTAAGCGAGAATGGTCATCGATGCATCTACTCAGCACAAACCAGATCTCTATGGCCTCAGAAAAACCAATTTTATTGAGTGAAATCATAAACTCTACTCAAATGTAAGGAAACATTTGTACAGCGTGCCAGCAAATTTGTCTTGTGTCTTTAACTGCGAATGAAAGTAATTGGTCTTGCTCAAATTCTGTTGTCTCCGACACAGATTTAATATAGTGACAGGAACTGCCCTGAAACCTTATTCCGTTTTATGCCACCTTCGACTTGGCCCTGTTGATACATTTTTTAGGCACTGAAGCAAAATATGCGGCATAACGTAATTTTCTTTACAGGCGAGACTGGTGAATAGATTTTTAAATTGTAACAACTTTTTGTTTGTCCAAGCCATATTTATCGTCTTTCTCGCCTAAGAGAAGAGGCGCTTCATTTCGACGTAGGGCAGCAGCATGTCAGAACTTAGGCCGTAATAAAAAACGTAATATTACAAGTAGAACAACTTAATTAAAATAAGTGAAATCTTTCACATAGTCTACCATTATTCTTTTTTGTGCAAAATTTATCATTCCATCCGAATGTTCAATCTGACCGTGGTGGTGCTTGGCAAATCGTCTGCCGAGGTTTGGCAGTAAATATATATTGACTGTCGACCTTTCCGTAAACAGCGTATCTCAAAAATGATTTTTCATGTTTTGTAGTCCTTTCTAAAAGTAGTTGCAAGTTTCTCTGACACAGCTCTGAAACATCGCGGTAATGAATTTCTCAAAGAAATAAGACATTAATCAAATCAAACCGATGTGATAAACTATCTATCAATAAAATTCGCCAATATTATAAACTGCAGAACTTTAAATTTCTAAGACCATAGACCTGACCTGTCATTCAGCCATACGGAATAAATTTTGTCAGTAAAACAAATACACGCTTCCAACCCTACGAAGTTTCCAAGGCATGTCAGGATACTGTTTATCGCCAAAAATAATTGACAAGATCGAAAAGCTAAAAACTGTCGCAGAAAACAAATCACATCCGGTAAAAGTTATTCGATGTTTCTGCTAGTAGAATCGCAAAAGTTTCATAATAATCAGTTCTGCTGCATCCATGTTGCTGTACCACTGCGTTACGATGGCGAAAGCTGCAGATCGAGCAGCCGGGTAGATCACGGGAAGTCTAGCATGGCTCCAGTAGAGACTGAGGTGTAATATAAATAAATATACTACACTATATTCGTACTTATAATAAACAACTTTAGTGAAAAGTAAACACGAGTCAATTCAGAAAATAACAATTCGTTAAGATGGATTTACAAATTACTACGAATCTGCAAGAAATGTAACGCGACACGAAGCGGGAACCAAATTATTATTGTTATTGTGTCGTTATCATCTTCAGCGGCAATGCAATCATGAAGCCTAATTAAGACCAGTGATATTCGCTGTTCTGTCCTTACTGTAAGTTGATATTATGATCTGTAAACCGCGTCGATCAAAAAAACATGATTCAAGCGACAGCAGATCGAATTTCAC